CCTAGACTTTGCATTTCACGGAATTTTTACATCGGAAACTTCCATTGAAAATGTCATGAACGCGTCCTTGTACATGTACGTCCTTAAGCAGAACCTGAAAATGCCATTTTGCAATAAAACTCAAAACTCGTTTCTGTTTATCTCATTTGATAAAGTGAGAATGATTAATGTTTTCATTAAAACAGTATTGCCTTGAGGTTTCCAAATCTGGATCCAGCTTCTTTTGAAGGTTAATCCAAGAAGATGACTCTTCTATTAATATAAATATTCAGGTAAGTATCGGCTAACATACGTCAAGTTTGCAAATTTCACTGGAATTGACTGTAATTCAATTCTCAGCAAACAAAGTTATTGTGTCAAAATGCGCCCTTTAGCTCCTTCGACCCTGTAAGATTTCATATCTGGAAATAGTTTCTTGCAATCATGGTTTCAGAGAGACATCACTAGAAATTGTTTCAAAATAACGAAGCGTTTGCTTCTCTTCCGAGTTTTCTTGCAGTAATCGGTTTCGTTACGCTCGGGTCAAAGGTTATGTTTTCAGGAAGAAGTGCTGCATTTAGTTCGCTATCTCAGCGCTTGCGATTTTATTTACCCAAAAATTTTAAACCTGTGATCTGTCGTCGAAACTCACTTGAAAGTGCTCCGATCTTCATGTTTTCTCGGCGGTTGTAGGAAGAAAAACTTCCTCACCAGAAAGTTTTGAGGACTTTGTACTCTTTGATCCTCCATTCTGAGGCCACCTGAACATTGATTTGTATTTTTCCTTTCTATTTTAAAGCCCAAAGCAGTACTTTATCCGTGTTAGGAATGAAAACAAGACCTTGGGAGTTTTCTAGATCTGGCCTGCAACGTGCCATGATTACCTGCACTTTTTGAGCGTGTGATTTTAAGAAGAAAAACCGTCTTTTCAGGACCCGTAAAGTCCGCTGAAAATATGCTCAGAAAGTCCATTCTGATTGGTTTATTTGTCCTCAAGAACAATAGAACAATAGGAGAACCAAAAAATCTTCAGGGAGGGTAGGATAGGCAATTGTCCCCATGTGCTTTTTTTCAGGCAGTTATGGTCAGCACAGGGAAATGGAGGAGTTTTTCGCACAGGCGGTTATGAGCTGCACAGGCGTCAGTGGGTTAATATTCCCTCTTTTGGGTTAACCTGTTGTATACAGTGGAACCTTGATTTAACAAAGTCACTAGGGACCGGCCAAATTTGGTCGTTAAATCGAGGGTTCATTATATCGAGAACCTTGATATAACAAATTTGAGGGGAAATGACCAAAATGTTCATTATGTCAAGGTCATAGTTAAGGATTGATTTGTAACACAGGTGACTTCTGTCACGCAATTCAATGCAATTTTCATCACCCAGAAGTGCCGTGTTTTGAGATGCAATTCATTAAGTAAGCATGGTGGCTTTCAGCATCAATTATTTTCACTTTTGAGCAGACACGCAGCTTTTGTTTACAAAAAAACGACACTTTCATGTTGCAACATGGAGGTTATACAAAAAATTGTCTATGTAAACAAGGAAACGGGCTATAGTATTGTTATGTTGCACTACCCAACGTTTCCGGATTTCAAAGATTTAATGTTTTTGCAAACGTAACTATAGTCCAAACTTAACTATATCAGTGATAATCAAGAGTTTCTTCAGTCTCTCAACACACGAGTTGCGTTCTGTGCATAACAAAACTTAAAAAATGGTAGATGCTAGAAAACAGAAACCAGCAGCAGTTTATGTTTAATGAAAGAATTCTTTCAATGTAGATTGCCTCTGTCTTTTGGCTTGCATCCTCAAAAATGTGTCCTACATTGACGAGAGGGAATGCAGGAATTCTTGCTCTCTCGCACCTGACTTGGCAAATGTCATAACAAAATTTCTCACTGCTTCAGTAGCTTCAATAGGACAGAGTGGCTCTGGCTCTAATGCAGAAATATCATCTAGATCGACTGCATCTTCTTTTTCATGGTTGGCCAAATCACCAGACTGGACTGCTTCCAATGCTTCCTGAGTCACCTCGTGGTCTGTTGGTTGACATTCAGTCACAACATTGTTATCTAAAGATACAAAATCACTGAATTATATCTCTGCAAGGAAGGGACAATGATGGGTAATGCTTCCCCATAGGCCTTTGCCAGATTCATCAGTTTCTTCCTCGTCCGACTCAAACGGATCATGCGAGGGCTCTGCTACGTCATCTGGGAAGCCTGCTTTATTCCAGCAGTTGGTGATTGTTGTGATACTTACATTATCGCAGGCTTTGGCCGTCTTAAAAACAGCATCTTTGAGGTTGATTGTTTCAACAGGTTTATTTTCATCTGAATACTGCAACATCCTGATCATTGTCTTGCGATAATGGACTTAAACATTCTGGATTATGCTTTGGTTTGCCAGTTGTAACTTGCTTGTGCAGTTAGGAGGAAAGAAGATCAACTTTACGTTCATCAGACCAGCGGCACTAACATGAGAAGAACAGTTATCTATAAGTAACAGAATATGGCGGTTTGCTACTCTCATTTGTCTGTCGATTTGACGAACCCATTTTTCAAACAGAGCACTGTCCATCCAAGCTTTCGTTTGAGACTAATAGGTGAGAGGAAGCAAATTCATGTTACTGTGCTTAAAACATCTGGGTTTAGCATCTTTTCCTATCACCAAAAGGGGTAGCTTCTCTGTGCCATCCTGGTTGCGGGCCAAAAGCACTGTCACGCGATCTTTACTTTTCTTACCAGCAGTGCATTTTTCTCCACTCAAGTTTCGTGTTTGAGTCGGGGTAGCTTTCCACATAACTCCAGTTTCGTAAGCATTCAAGTGATCTTTCATACTGTAGCTGCAGCAAATATCCCAGAGATGCTCACTCCAAGTTTCAACAATACCGGGATCTACACTCTTCTCTTCACCACATACAGCCTGGCCTGTAATTCCGTGTCTTTCCTTGAACTTATCCAGAAAGCCATTACTTGCCTTGAAGTTCTCATGTCCCAACTGTTCTGCAAAATACTTGGTCTTTTCTTGTGAGAGTGGTCCACTAACAGGGATATTCATGGCTTGAACCTTGCAGAACCATTCAGAGAGTGCTTTGTCCAGATCTGGAAAAGTTGACTGTTTCATCTTCTTTCATTTGTCTTTGTACAATCCTCCTTCAAAGGTGCTAACAATGTCGTCCTTCTTCATAATGGTTGAGATAGTAGACTGTGACAAAGACGGGTCAAAATGTTTAGCCACAGCAGTGTGTTTCTCCCCATTGTTAATTGCTTTGACCAGTTTATATTTCTCTTCCAAGGTCAGAACTCATCTATTCTTTGTCTCTTGTTTCTTGGACTTTGTCGACTGCGATGTAGAAGCAGTAGAACTGGAAACCGCCCCGCTTTCTCGTGTTGCAATCCCTAGGCTTGCCATAGGAACATTGGTTACTGCACTCAGTGAAAAGAACCAAATTCAACAGGGGTGTAAAAGCACATGGCTTTTTACATCACAAAATAGCCTAACGCAGTGTATGTGCTGCAATTTAACTTAATTAGTTAAAAGTGATGCAATCTCAAGCCTTGCTTGATTGTGTAAGGTGTGTGTTCCGCATATGCCATTCACAGGAAATTGAAGATCTGTGTAGCCTACATTGTACAGTCACTGTTTACGGCTGTAAAATGTTAGCATTACTGCAAAGTGATTCATTTAATTTTATAGTTTTTAAAAGATACATCAGTGGAAGAAACAACTTATTTCTGTCGATCTTTTATTCGAGGCTACCATGTGTATAAGGATACTGGGATTCAGGTGTTGGTGAAGTTCTCGATTGCGAGGTAAGACTTGTTTAACAATGTCAAACATAGAGAAGAGAACGTTGGAGATAAAAAACCCCCCTTAGTTTTGAGAATTTGACGTTACAGTAGTTAATGAATGAACTGATCTCACACGTGTGTATTACGCAGCACGAGCCTGATAACTCACACAACATTCATGCTGTTGCCAATAAAACGGTTCAAGATCAAGGAGGGACTTCACAGATCATGGGTCATGTGCCATTGACATTGTCACATGTATTTGACTTGTTTTTAAAACACGGAGGACATATCTCAGTGGAAGTGACTGGTAAATGGAGAAACAAGGGCATTGGATTAGAAATTCCGGCTATGTATTCCATTTATCACAAGAAACCTGCGAAGGTGAAGAAGTTAACAGAACTAATAAGAGACAAAGAAGATAGAGCAGAAGTTAATTGATGTCGAAATATTATAGTGCTAATGTCTATGACATATAATAAGCCAGTGACTGAAAGGTTGGTGTCTCTTTACCATAAGGATTATGGTGTATCGAGGCAGATTTTACTTTTGGGCTTCCGGATTATGTTCGTTATATCGAAGAATTCGTTATATTGAAGAATTTGTTACATCGAGGTTCTTTACATCAAGGTTCTATTCCATACATTTTACTGTACTTTTGGCCGGGACATAGAATATAGTTTGTTGTATCGAGGACTTCGTTAAATAGAGGTTCATTAAATTAAGTTTCCACTGTAGCTGGCAATATCTCTTTGACCTCAATATCAATCATGTTAAACATGCTCAAACAAGTTGTGCTGATATGTGAAAAGGATTTTTTGTATCTGAAAACTTTTAAACTGGCTTTTAAGACTTTTACAGTGGGCTTCTGATACATTAGTCAAAACAGATTATGGTACAACTTACATGCCGTTGAACTTCAGGCTCCAGTAGAAGTTTGAACAGCAGCTCTGCATGTGGAGCATCTCCTGGTGTCTCTGTAACTTCCCACTTACTGTCCAAAACCCTGCTTTCAATTAGGTATGTTGTGGGGAGACTCGTTTCAACTTGGGTCAGTTCAGGATATCCCTCCAGTGAAATAGAAAATCTCGCCAAGATAAATAGGAGAGCCCTGATCTTGTCCTTCTCCTCCTCATTAAGGTTGTCATTAGGTTGGCCTGTGAGAAAAAAAAATAGAAAAAGCCTGGTTATCAAATTGTGCACACTAAACAGTATTTAAGCCTAGCTAACATTTTAAAGTGAGAGCTAAAAGACAAATATATTCCAGTTTCTTGTTTTGAGTACAATACTATCTTCTCAGAATAGCTCTTTATGCTGTTCCAAAATGATTTTAATCTTGTTGCCTGCTTCACAGTTTTTTTCCAGTTTGTTAAAATTTGTACTTTTGTTTCTCATTCCACAGTTATTAGGTGTCCCAAGTTGACGTAAATTAAATTTCCATAGTGAGACACTCTGTGGGGCTCCTGTAACAAGCCTACTTTGTTTTGAGATCAGTTATAGTTGCTTTTCAACATACTTATGTTTTTTTCAGATGACATATCATGACTCTCCTCTGAGCAGACAATACTCTCTGCAATAACAAAAAACAACAAATTATTGATACTGAAGTGTTTTGGTAAAACAAAACTGGGGTGAACTATAGTTACCTTCAAACAACTGGGCCTTAGTGATCATTACAACCTATGTAGTGGTTGTTACATCAATTAAATTCTTGACCTTTAAAGGTTACTTTGATCTGCTGACCAGTAGTGTCTTCTAGACTCAGAGATTTTGGAATCAGCCCATATGTCTCTACAAACCATAGTGCAGTCTATGCTTTTTCTCTGTAACAAATTACAAAAACATGGTTTTCAGAAATTTCGTTCATATTATTGCAAAAGTGGGAAAGAAAATGTGTTTCACAAATTGGTCAAGTCTGTTAAATGTTTAAGATAGGTACCTCATATCCTTGACATGTCTCTGTTGTTGTCGATACCCGATGTTTTTGGTTTGCCTCGATGACCATTTTGTCCTCGCAGACATCTTAGCTGGGCCATAGCATTGTAAAGTTGCATGCCTTGTCTGTGTAAAGGGTAACATATGGGTAGAAGTCAGTCAAGTATATTTTGACCAATGTTAACTAATATAGGTTAGCCATCTAAAGCGGTGTTTTTGTCCTTTGTAGTATTCATTGTAAGGTGAACATGAAACTAATAAGGTAACATAAGTATGGTTTTCACCTGGAGTTAAAATTAAAGTCGAGACTGGAAAAACATAAGCCCAGAAACTAATTTAACCATTCAGAATTCAAAAGCTACTGTTCAAACTGGTCTT